AGTAGGCCTTTGCCCGCATCTACCAGCAGGTGGAGCAGACAGCGTAATTTATTACCCAAGAACAAGGGCAACGAATTGAAAGTCAGTTTATTTGGAATAAAACAAATCTGCAAATGAGATTTTCTTCAAAGGAAATATGTTCTATCTGTGGTAGATTTGGCCTGACTGGTCACTGAATCAAAATAAATAACTTTATTAAATAATCAATCTTTGCAGGAGATAAATTAAATTTACAGATGGAGGTCAAGCTTGCATTTTATTTTATTCAAATCAACTAAAATTAGCTTTCCTTTCAAAAAACTTTTACAGGGACAAAGATTTTTTGATGTGTTCATTTAATAAGGGTGCTAAACCCAATCCTGTTATCTAGGTGATGGGGTGCATAACAAATAGTATTTTCTGGGAAATATAATTGAGTATCCTATTATGTCTGTAGCAACAAATTAACCTTATTACTACTAGTAAATGGTGATTGATTATTTATGCAAATAAGTTACCACGTTCAGCTTTCTGACTGAAATAAACATATACAAAAGGTGCTGTAATGTGACTTGAACTTTTTAATTAATAAAACCCTAAGGGGTCTATTAATTCACTCATTGCAATATTGGTTATTTACTTGTGTAATTCTTATTAGCACAAACATATTTGATTGAATAAAGATGAGATCATTAATACAAAAATTAGCAATACCTTTTAGAATTATTTTAAGATACACACTGCCTTTATGCTGAAAATAGAGTGAAAGCTGACTTTAGAGCTTTTTGATCAGTGCGTGAGTATACTGGTATACCAGCCTAGTCACTCTGAAATTATTAGCAGATGAAAGCATGACTTTATTCGCTATATCTGAATTCACGAACATAATCTTAGTTTACAAATCTCTTTATCTTTTAAAGACATTATTAGGTTGCATTAATGTTTATGTTTTACTCATCTAAGATACATTATATTAGAACTATGAAAATGTAGTGTAAACATTAGTGTTTCACAAGCTATAATAATAACCGCCTTCCTATATTACTCACAATTCCAGTAAAACCTGTCTTTTTTCTAAAAATGCTACATTGATTCCTTTAATCAGGTCGGCAAACATTTTTGTATTCTGACTTATTTCTTATAAAAACCATCTACACTTAAATACTTAGCTGCTAGATCTTCAAGTATCTGCAGAAATTGAGAGCTAAAGCAAATACAAGTCTTTTAAGTACTCATTTGACTTCCTTTGTACTTAATGTGCATTTAATGTACTTAATTTGAAATCAAAACTCTTGAAGCACGTGTGGAAGTCTATCCAAACAACTGAGGACTATTTTGAAATCAGCAGTTTGTTCCCACCCCTCCAGGGAGTGTTCTGTGCACCCGCAGGACCTCTCCAGACCAAAACCCAGGTACGCCGCGTGAGTGTTCCCACCCAATAGCCAAATCACGCTGACAAAATAAATAATAACACTCGCTGATGCATGTGTCTTTCACTCTAATTCTCCCTTAGTTGAGGAAAAGTATGTAAAGGTTTTATTAAAATAAAAACAAGGGCTGGAGAGATGGCTCAGTGGTCTAAAGCACCTACTTAGAACAAGCTTAGCAAAGCCCAGGGACCACGGTTCAATCCCCCAGCACCATATGCCAGCCAGCCCGCCCCCTGGTGGGCTGAGCTGGCCACACACACACACATAAATAAATAAATAAAATTAAAAAAAAATAAAAAATAAAAACAATTGTAAATTGCACCACAAAATTGCCCTGAGCTGGTTAGTTTGTGCTACGGCTGTGGCATGCAGCCGCAGAACGTAGCAACCGAAATTTGGAGTAAGCAATTGATGTTTATAATTTACTTTGCTGAATCTTAGAGCAGCATGCTTTTTGTCCAGATAGCTATGATTTACCATTGTAACTTGCAATAGGTTTAAAATTCAACTACTTTTCTATCATGATGAAAAATATGCATTTAAAGCTAAATAAAACAAATCTTGTGAGATATGAGGCATAAATCATAAATTTTCCAGGATTATCAATTTTCCAGTTAATACAGCCAACCCCCTGAACAAAAGAAACAGATAAGATGCTAGTGTGATACTACTAATTTGCTACCACCAAAAATAGAAATAAAAAGCTTGCATCTCCATAGGTACACAGTGTCACACTTTCATTTCTATGGTCACCTATGTGCAAAAAGTAAGCCCATATATAACCCTAGCCAGAGCCAGATTAAAATCTTGGATATTTTTATAATATTCTGCTCTGAGGAAGAGGAATTGAGCTCATGACATCCCCTGCAATGTCCTGAGGTCTGGGAGCCCCAAGTGGGAAGTAAAATGTTGGGGAGCTGCAGGATGCTGGGCCCCAACACAGAGACCCCCACTACTAAGGCTTCAAACAAAGTTTCATTAGTAACAGAAGGAAATGAGAAGATGGGGCTTACAGCTGGGCTAGCGGAAGTACAGAACTCAGCCTACCCATAACAGGTTCAATTCTAACAACAGGATTAATATCCTTTACCAAATGCCATCTGAGTGCCTGCCACTATTTTAAAATTTTCCACCATTATTTCAAGATGTGTTTCAGTGTCCACACATGTAGAGTGAGGCACAGGCTGAGAAAACTCAAAGCACTGAAAAGGCAGACTCGGTGGATGGCAGGAATGCCCGGGTGGCTGTGTGTGGTGAAACCCACACCTCTGCCGGTGTGCCGGGCATACACCAATCTTACCTCCAGCCCACATGGCACCTGCAAGGAGAAACACACAGCAGGACACAGTCTGCACTCGCTGACACCAACACTCCTGAGCACAGTGGCAACACGACTCGAAAGCTCACGGACGGGCCTGACTCTTTCCTGGTCAGACTTGTAAAATTATTTGTCGAACTGTGTTTAAGTTCAAAAATGAAATGAAATCAAAATAGTTAAGGAACTGCACCTGAATTTTAATCATAGTCAGGCACATGGATATCTGATGGTATATTATGTTATTAGCTAAACAACTGAATCCTTATGAATGTTCCTTTTAAAAATAAATTTATTTGCAAGTTCAGCACTACACACACACTAGCCAACTGCTCTCCCCCTGCACTACACAGCCGTCCCTTACGGACACATTCCCTGCACATGCGATATCTCAACAGCCTTGGATTAAAGAGGAGAAAGTATTTCAGCTAAATCTGAGTTCAACACATTTTCTTTCTTGATTCCATTCTGTAGCGGACTACTCATCCCAAGTATAAAAAATGCAAGTACAATCCCAATGACACAAGATTCAAAGTCTAAAGAGGGTTTGGAGTAATCAAAATTAGTAACTGTTTCTTAATGAATAAATTGTTATTAGGTTTCAAATATTAAAAATGTCACCCTGGGCCTGCCATGCTGGCCCCTCTCAGGGGTGCACTGAGATGGTAATTGAGACTGAGCACCGTGGTACACACCTGTAATCCCAGCACTTGGGAGGCTCTAAACAGGAGAATCACTATGAATCTGATCTAGTAGTGAGACCTTGAACACACTGTAGACCCTGCCCTAAAATACAGAAAAAAGTCAACAGCCCTCTAGTTTAGATTAATTTATCAAAATTGAAGTTGCCAGTAATAATGTTGACAAATACATATATATATATATATTTGGCTAAAAGGAATTCTTGGTTTTGAAGTCTACATAAAAAATAGAGGATACAATGAAACAATTAAAAGTTTGACACTGTTATAGATGTTACAATAAAACTTTAAAATATTACCTTACTGCCCATTTCAAGTAAAAAGACCTTGGACTGGGTACATACTACTACTCGCTTTGTGTTGGTGAACCAGCGACATAGAGCTCTGAGTTTGTCCCATCATCTATGCCGACCCAAGTAGACACAAAGGTGGTCATCGTCGTTGGCATTTAGACCATCAAATAGGGCAGGGCTGAACTCTGTCCCAGAGGTGTGTGGCCAGCCCAGCAGCTAACAGGCTTTGCATATGGATGCTTCTAGGAAGGACCCTTGTCCTGGAGCTCATCTCCCACTGCTGCAACTAACTTCACCACCTCGAAGACTTCAGTACATGACTGCTAGAATGACGACTTGAACCTGAAGGTTTATGCGAAAATGCATGCACTCAGAACCTCCAGGGCTCCAAGTTCACACGCTGTAAACCACATCTTGTCTTTGAGCACAGAATACCTAGTCCACAAACTTGGTATTTTTTCAGAGCAACCATGGCGAAATCTGAGGTCCTGATATTTTAACAAGTTACCGGAGACTAAATTTCTGAGTCTCCCATATTCTATATTTAGCTTCCTATACAAAGATGGTTTTGCTTAAGAAATTTTATTAATAGCTTTAGCTGAAAATTTCCACCAAAACTTAGGAAAGGGTGGAAAAATGCTCTCATCATTTTTTTTTTTTTTTTTTTTTTTTTTTTTTTTTTAGGACAAGGTCTACAGGGTCCCACTACACAGATTGGACTCATAGTGATCTTCCTGTTTTCAGCCTCCCAAGTGCCGGGATTACAGGTGTGCGTCACCATGCCCAATCTCAATTGCCATCTCAGTGTGCCTGGGTGCAGGGCCAGCACGGCACGCTGGGGGTCGAAGCCCGGCTGCTGCACTCTGCCTAAGCAGATGCTTTAGTCCACGGAGCTCTCAGGCCCGCCCTAAGAATGCCTTCATCCTAATGCTTACTCCATTAAAAAGAGAAAACCTGAGAGCCATTTAATATCCTATTAGCTGTGGTCACTTCACAGCACCAAGCCCCTGGGAAGGAGCTGGGAGCTCAGTGAGGCCCGCAGTGTTATGCCCTCACCCTGTGGCTGGGACATCTCCCCAGTGCGGCTGGGGCTGCCTACATGGGATGCTGTCACAAAGGAGCCACCGGGCCACAAGCACAGCGTTGATGCTCGAAATTGAGCTCGAGGTGGTGTCTTTGCGGCATCTTTTCAACAGGTCAGGTCCCATTCAGCCTGCTAGTCTGTCTCTGTCAGGCGAGGACGTGGATGGCTGCGGGAGCTGGCAGAGACAGGTAGACCAACCTGCTTTGTGCTGAGGAGGTAATGCATCTTGCGGGCTTCCTTTTCTCTCTGCTTTTCCTCCCTGTCGAGCTTCGCCTTCTTCTCCTCGCTTTCCTGAATCTCTGCAAACTCCTGCAGTACCTCCCTGCACAGAAATTATGTGAAGTCATTTATGACAATACCTGTTAATGTTTTTGTTCTTTACAATAAAGTTTTCCCTGAGGAGCCCCTATCGTCCACATCCATCACAGCAGCAGCGTCATCCGTCTGCCCGCCTCCTCCATGTGCAGCCCTGAGGAAACACTTGAAGGATTAGTCAGTATTATGCTTTAAAAGCCAAATGCCTGTATGCTAAACTTACCTCATGGTCAAGGAATCGTTCACAGCAAGTGCTAAGTGCGTGCTTTTCTGCGTTACTAGTTTCTTGAAGATGTAGCTGTTGTGGATAAACAACTACCCCAAAAAAGGTCCGAATCACCGATTTCCTGTAAAGTTTGGATTTGCACTGTTGAATTCCTATTATTTCACTTAGTGAAATTCTGGGTCATTTCTAATATTGTTTTTCACCACTTTGTATTCTCTTTTGAAAAGAAAGTTTGGTTTTTTACTTACAAATCTCATTGTATATTCTGTAAAATGAGAGTCTAAGCAAAAAAACTATGGCAAGTTTTATATAGGTGCTCAATTTATTCTACATCAGTTAGCAGTTCAATAGTATGGCTAAGCAAACATACAGTAAACTGCATTTAAAAGATTGAAATTTTATTCAGTTAGAGAGATAAGTAGAATAAAAGTTAGCTAATGTGAATAAATTTGATTTTTAATGTATAATAAGCTTCATTAAAATAATGAAAATTTTCATCATTTGTGTGTGTGTGTGTGTGTGTGTGTGTGTATAACTGAGGAATCCCAATAAGAACCTCTTAAATAAGCTACACTGAAAACAGTTTGCTAAACTGTACATGATAGTACCAAATTGGAAAATAACAAATCTTTTGCTTTCATAGGACAAATTAAACATTCACTCAAAATGGTATGTTGGAATTATACCTTACCCCTTTTTAAAAATAGACATCAACCATATTGTCTAGTTCTAAAGTAAAAATTTTAACCAAATCACCTGAGTGTTTTCCTCAGATGAATCAGTGAACAGTAAGGGGGAGTATAACAAAAATCAAGACGATTCCCCTTTCCACTTGGATGGCTGGAAATATTTTTACTGGCATCTTCTGTGAAAAGCTCTGAGTACAATACTTGATACAAGGTTACTTATGAGACATGTTGACGTGTAAAAATCACCACACAAGGCTACCGCAGCAGAGCAATGTTTTTCAACATAAGATTAAATTGCAAAATAAATGAATTACTTGGAATGGCATGGCCCCATTTTGCCACCCTTCTCTTGAAAATTGCTTATTAATATGAAAAAAGGAGTCAGAAAATAGCCTGCTTCCCGTTACGCACAGTGTCTTGGGTCCCTGCACCCACGGAGGCAGGCTGGCCGCACGTGAGCATGCGCCGGCGAGCGGGCGCAGTGACCTCTCCGACCCACGGCTCAGGGCTATTATTAATCGCCAAGTAACCTGGTAAAGCCAAACAAATTTGTTTCCATTGAAAGGATCTCGATCTGTGCCTGAGAATTTGTTCTGTACCAAACAAACCTCATTAACTCTGTCCGTTTTTGACAAAGAACCAGGAGCTAGAGGGGTTGGTGACCTTTCTTTGTCCTTATGGTACAAATTTCAAGGCAGTTAGATATGAACAAATGAGAAGTTTTACCAGAAAAAAAAAAATCATATGTTACCTTAAAAATAGAATTATAAATTTTAATCTTTACTTTTCATATTATATAAAATATTAGTACTTCTATGATCCTCTTAGAAGGCTTTAAAATAATTTAGAACAACAAATGGGCTCCCATTGTGATACTCAAAATGATTATTATACAGTTGATCCGACTCCAGAGCAATAGTTGTTTTCTTAGCAATCATAAGGAAAAATGCATTTATGAAGAAGTTTATGCTGTATAAATGATTTAATAAATACAAAGAGAGGTTATATACAAAGAAAGGCCCACTACAAGCACAGAACTTGGGTGCAAAATAAAAGCATAAGCCGCCAGATTTGTAGCTAATAGATCCCACAAAGGTGCAGAGCCCCCCGCACACTGGCGCTACTGTCTGCCTTGGACTTCCTTTATGGAAATCTAAGTTCTTTCCCCACTGTTCTTCCCACTTAGGACACCAGGCTTCACTTCCTCTTAACAAAATTTATAGTCACATATGCATGAATATGTATTTTTAATTTGGTGTGTTTCTCCCCTACTAGATCCATAGAATAAAACTCCATAAAAGTAAGGAATATGTCTATGTAGTCCATGTCTTTTTGAGTGAATAAATACATAGATTTTATAGAAGTAGTCTGCACAGTAAGGCCACTTAGTCAGAGATAAACTATTTTAAAGAACTGACTCTATTGTCTGCCTGTAAGTATTTACTTACAGAATGATGGCAGAATAATGCCAGAAACAGAGAAAGAAGACTGCAAAGAGGAGCACACTATCACGCTCAGTCTTGGGCCGGATGCTTTCTCTGCAGTGCATACTTTTCGAGATCCTAGTTACGATATATTTCCCACATAAATCTACATACATAGATGCTTTCTGCCCTCCCCCACTCATGGCGAGGGTCCCGCGATGTGCTAAATATTTGTGTCCTTCAGCCTGCATAGGTTGAAGCCCAAACACAACGTGAAGGCGGTTGGAGCGGGGCCTTTTACGAGGAACTAGGCCTAGAAGCGGAGACCCTGACTGGGATTTGTGTCTGTCACTTTAGCAAGAACCCGAGACAGCTTCCTTCCTCCATCCTGTGAAGGCACAGTCAAAGGCACCCACCCGCGTACAGGAGAGGGGCCCTCGCCAGGCGCTGCTCCGGGCGCCCTTTCATCTTGGACCTCCTGGTCTCCGGCAGTGCGCCCATCCGTGTTCTGCAAGGCACCGGGCCCCTGGTGCTCTTTTCTGAACTGCCTGAGCTGGGTCCCGAAGGTCAGACGTGACATTACTCATTCTTGTACGCTTCCCATTTGCCATCCTGATACCTCTTACGAGGCATCGCTGGTACTGGCACCGGGATAGAACTCGTTGCTGGCGTCCTTTCTAACCGCTCCTCGGCCACCTGACACACGCCCTCACTCCTGATCGCTTCATTATGAGAGGGAAGGAGCCGCGCTGGGGAAAGTCTCTACTGGACAGTGGCGTGGAACCTGGCTCTTTGTGAAGGACCGTGGATCTCCAAGCACAGCCTCACTTGGAAAATGGCACGTCCGACCCCCGGGGGGCACAGGGGCTCACACTCGGGAAGCCTCGGCCACCTACAGCAGTGCAGCCGGCAGGGCCGGGAGGACGCGAAGGCTCTGTCCCTGTGCCCCACCGCGTGGAAATGCCGTGGCGAGCAGCCAGCAGGCTCCAGGGACATCACCCACTAGCCAAAGTGCTAGGATGAATCCCGACAGGACAGAGTGTGCCCAGTACTGTCACTGCAAAGGCATAATTTTCACAGAAAAATAATCTTAAGAGATTGCTTTCGAAGCACAAATGCCTAAAATTTCAAAGGGAACAATACTAGCTACATGTCTGAAATACAAAGCAAAATGCCATCATCTACTTCATCTTTAAAAACATTTCTAAGGGATTGATTTAGAGGACATTCTCTAGCGACTTCTCTGGGTTTTGATGTCAAGTCAGCATGTGCTGCAACAGCCTTCAAAAGCAAAACAGGCTGATGGCACCACTGTTCACTGCCATGTATTGTGACAAAAAATTATTTCAGTTAACTTACCGCCTAAATTGACATGGTTGAATTCTGATAGGAGGGATCAGGAAGGCTTTCCGGGGACTGATACTGGAGTTGGGAATGAACAGCAAGAAGGTGACCACCAGAGAGCAGAAGTTGACAGGCGCTGTGCTAAAACGCAGCCAGATCCTTCCTAAGACACCTGTGCCCTTTCTCGTAGGTGGTGACTGTCAGTAGCCAAGGGCAGAAATGCAGGTGACTGTGGAGACAGGCTTCAGACTCTGTGAACCTGTGCTCCATGACAATTATTTTGAGAATACAAAAAGCAAAATGGAGCCAAGCAGCCAATATTGTAAAATTACAATGCCGCCAATCTCTCTGGTTGTAGAAAGGGATCATCTGGCTGTAACAGGGGTGTAGAGGCTGGGTCTGCATAGGCCCAGTGGCAACTGGAAGCAGCGTCCAGCCTGGTATCTGCTTCTTCTGCTATTTGTCTCCTTAAACACAGGGTCAGACCTCTTCTCAGCTCTGCATGAAGACATGGTAATCACATGAGAGTGTCTAACAAAAAGCTGGTAGCATGACATTACTCTTCTCAATTTACCTAAACCACCCCACCCCCCTTCAACACTGAGGACAGAAATAGAGGCGAAGACATATTCAACATCGGCAGGGACATCCAGTCACCAGCTTTCACAACATCCTGTTCTGACAACCTAGAGCAGTGCCAGAAGTCTTTGGTAATTGTCTGAAACCTGGAGTCATTTTGAGCCCATGGAAAGCGCAGCTTGTAGGACAGCTCACCCATGAGGAGCTCACCACCTAGGCAGGAGGAAGTGCTACCTAATGAAGTCGCAGCTGCCCTAAGCAGGAGCAGAGCTTCCCTTCAAGCCATGGATTTCTCTAGAACCACCTACCAGAAGCATCCCTGAGATATGTCCCGCCGTGCCACAACCCGACTGGGGTTCCCAACCCTGCCAGCTGCACGAATCCCCTAGCCATGGCAAAACCCCAACTCTTGCTGCCTCTGTTTTCGCCTGCAAAACCTCAAGGTTCCTGTGAGCCCCTTGAAGACAGGTCTTGCATTTCCAAACCTCTTCTTCTATACTGAGTAAGCTCTTTCCCTGCCCTCACCACTGCTCAACTTCTCAATTTGCCCCCTGGTAGGGAGCAGCCTCGCCTGGCCAGTTGGGATCCCAGGGGCCAGGGCTGCTACCTAAATCCCAAGCAACACAACTGTTGTAGTATTTTATTTATCTGTTTTACATGACTTTCAAAAGCAATACATCTACAAAGATCATTCTTGATATTTTTTTCTTTGGGTTCTTTTGTACCAATTTAATTTAAAAAGAAT